CTGTATGATACATCACATTCAGAATAGTGCACATAACAAAATACACTCTACACATGGATGGTGTGTGTGGGGGTAGGGGACAGGGTGCTGGGGTGGGGCAGGGTGCCAGTGGGTGCAGGGGTAGGATGCCAGTGCGAGCAGGGGACAGGGAGTCCCCACTATACACCTCCTCTGGGGACTTCTACCCTCTCCCCCCCGCAGAGGAAGCTCCGGCATGCGCCTCCTCTGGGGACTCCTACTCCCTCCCCATTCCCACTCCCCCGCAGAGGAGGGAAGCCCCAATGTGGGCCTCCTCTGAGGACTCCCCTCGCCTCCCTTCCCCCCCGCTCTCTCCTTCCCTTATTTATTCTTGGATCTGGACTTCTAATATTCCTGTCATCTGAAGAAGTGGGTTGTGCCCAGAAAAGCTTATGATACCATCTACATGTTTTGTTAGTCTTTAAGGTGCTATTAGACTATTTGTTGTTGGGGTTTTTTTGTTTTTCCTGTAAGGCCAAACTTCAGTTGGTCCTATAAAGACATGTGGTCAGGTCACCGGATATTGTAACCCATTTTGGATCTGATATTTTTCCACTCAAGAGGAGAAAGGTTTGAACTGAAGGCTAAGAATTCCTGCCTTGGACAAAAGGGATATAAAGGTGGGAAACCAAACAATAGGGGTATGGCCAGATACCAGGAGATTCCCACTCACTACCCAAGATGCCTGTTGGAAACATCTAAGACTGAACAGGGAAAAGGACGGGGCCCAGGCTAGGAGGCTGCCTAGATTCTGCAAAAGATTATTAGAACTACTGTTAGAGTACATGTAAAGTTACATGTGGAATAAATTTACATGTAACAAATTTCTTAGTGTATTATGCTTAATTGAGATGTTTGTTTATTTTGGCTTAGTAAATCACTTTGATCTCTCTGTTTTCACTTGCAATCACTTAAGTCCTTTTTATATTTGATAATAAACAAAAGTGTTTTTATTAAAACCAGTCTGAATAATTATTACGGGCAAAGGGAAGGGGGAAGAAACATAGCTGTGCATATCTCTCATTGAAAAAGAGAGAAAACATGAGCTTTCTTTGTCTAAAACTTTTATACAGAGTAAGACTATTTTATTTTGGACTTTCATCCTTTTGAGGGTTATGTTCTTGGATGCTGTCGAGGCCCTATACCTGAAACCTCCCAGAGCTGAACTAGTTTGGCATCTCTGTTGCTCTGCTGAGGGGCTGTTACCCCAACTCTATGCCTTGGCTGGGGGAGACCAAAGCTTATGGCCCAGCAAGAAAGGGTGGTGAGGTGCATAATCAACACACCGGGTAACAGCCCCAATGGAACCTCTGTGATCGAACCCATCGCAATGTGTTCTAAGATATCTGCCACTGTTCACTTCAGAGAAGATGCTGCTGCATTTCAGTACAAAGTGAAGTGGTACTTTTATTAAAAACCCAGTCCTGCAAACACTTACATACCTGCTTTACTTTATGCACTATGAGTAGTCTGGTTGCCTTCAAAAGGGGGTTGCATACATGCTTAAAGTATGCACATGTGAACTCTTTGCAATTGTGGTACTTCAGCAGGTGCATCATGTTAAGGCCTTGATCCTGCAATCATAATCAATCACATATCATACAGCTCATCTATGAAGAGAGATTAATGAGGAGAGATTAATAAAACTGGGATTTTTCATCTTGGAAAATAAATGAATAAAGGGGGGCATATGGTAGATGTCTATAAAAATCATGACTGGTGTGGAAAAAGTAAATAAGGAAAAGTTATTTACTTGTTCCCATATTACAAGAACTAAGGGTCACCAAATGAAATTAATAGGTAGCAGGTTTAAAACAAACAAAAGGAAGTATTTCTTCATACAATGCATAGGCAACCTGTGGAACACCTTGCCAGAGGATGTTGTGACAGCCAGGACTTTAACAGGGTTCAAAAAAGAGCTAGATAAAGTCTTGAAGAATAGGTTCATCAATAGCTATTAGCTAAGATGGGCAGAATGGTGTCCCTAGCTTCTGTTTACCAGAAGCTGGGATTGGGTGACAGGGGATGAATCACTTGATGATTACCTGTTCTGTTCATTCCCTCTGAGGTACGTCGCATTGGTGACTGACAGAAGACAGGATAACTGGACCTTTGGTCTGACCTAGTATGTCCCTATGTTCTGACACGGGATGGCCTTTATTTTATACCCAAAAGTACCTGTACCATAGAGAGAGTCTATTTTTTTTCCTTTTCTGTAAATGTAAATTAGTAATGTTTTAAGTGAAAGATACATTCCAAACCAAAAGTCTGATTCTGCATACAGAGTAGTATATGGCTAATTGTAAGTGCATTTTAAAATATGGACTGTACAATGGGGCACAATTGGGAATTTTTCCATTTACTTCAACGGGATTTAGATCAGGCTCCAAGTTAACTTCATTTTATTTTCTGCAGTTTATTAACTCAAATTTTAGACCTTTAATTCTGAGAGCCTACGTTCTACAAAAGCATGAATCAACAAGGTCTGACTATATCAAAACTCCAATTTACTTTGTGTTCAGATCTCTGTAGCAGGATAAAGTACATTCAGACAGAGCTATTAAGAGTTCAGATCAATCATTATTTTAAACACTAGTTTCTCTCCTAATACTTTCCATATCAGTATGAGAAGGATACTTGTTTTTAAACAGAAGCTTGGCTTGTTTAGCCTAATGATTAGAGAATCCTAGTCTATTATTTATTATTTGTGTTGCTATAGGCTATATGGGCTCAAGTCAGAGAGCATGGCTTTATTGTGCTAGATGTGATACAGCTAGGAGTATTGCCAATTGCCACAATTATATTGTAAGCCTATTCATATTTAATATTGTTCTGAAAGCTCTAACTACTAGGCTACGTCTACACTGGCCTTTGAAGTAGGAATAAGACCCTCCGGAAAAGGGCACTTTTTCCGGAGGATCGGGGTCAGTCTAGACGCTCTTTTCCGGCTTTTTTAAAAGCCGGAAAAAAGCGGTGAACATTTTTATTTAAATGCCGCGGGGGATATTTAAATCCCCCGCGGATTTCCCTACGACGACTAGTGAAATTTACATGCCCCTTCCGGAAAAGGGGCCAGTGTAGACGTAGCCCTAGAGTCTAGTGATTACTGCAGAATATCAACTTTGTTTATTTTTAAGTGAGATTCTAGCCTCCATGAGGGCAGAAAAAAGCTTGGAAGTGTGACATGCATGCATCCTAAAGGCTCAGAAACCAGAAGGCAAATCCTGTGACCCTACGAATGCCTCTATAAGAGCAAATCTTCCTAGGCCTGATAAACTCACTACACCTAAAATTTTGTTGTCATAATATTGAGCTATAAAGAAAGCTACAAAGTTTTCTGCACACATGAAGGTTAGACCTGGCCACCTGGGCAAATGACACCAGGAGGTAGCTTTAGTTGAGAAGCTGTTTTAGACAAGAATTTTAGTCTGTTAATGTTTAGACCCTCAATGTGTTATATTTTTTGTTTAACAAATAACCTGCTGTACTTACCATCCTTACTAGCTTGTAAAATTTTAACCTTTGTTAATAAACTTTGCTTTCACTAGAAATAGATTACAGGGCTGTGTCCTTAAAGGATCTGATACAGAGCTGTGTCAGTCCAGCGGTGTGTACTCTGCCCCTTCACGGACTGCTTATCTGGGTATTTCTACAAGCATCCAGTGACAGAGGCAGGGCACTACAGAGGAGACTCTGGCAAAGGGACTGGAGGTTGGCCGGTTTTAATCACTAGCCAGCATAGCGATGATGAGGTATGCAGAAAGCAGCAAGTTGAAATCAGTGGGCAGAGGCTGCTGGTTTCCAGGGGCAGAGGTGCAGCCGATATCGAAGCTGCTTCCTGCAGGAGGCAGCCGATGAGAAGGGTCTTCGCAAGGCAGCATGCCCCCGGGGAGCACCGCACCCTTCCCCAAAATATTATTTTTGGGGGAAATCTCATGATTGTTGAGTTATTCTGATTCACAGGGCTTGACACAATTTCTGAACATGCGAGTTGGCAGGTCCTGCTCCTGTGCGATGGAGACACAGCCCTGACATGGGGTTGCCAGGTGTCCGGTTTTCACTCGGACTGTTCGGTATTTGGCTCCCCAGTCCGGTAAAAAAAACAGAAAATACCGGACACGTGAAGCCCGGCAGTTTCCCCATCTGGCAGGGGTGGGGGAGTGACGCAGTGACTTTTTTTTTTTTTTTTGCTCAACTTTGGTCTCCCCCTTTTTTTTTCTTCAACCAAGTTCGCCATGTTCGGGATTTTTGTTGAAAGCATCTGGCAAGCCCCCCCCGACCAACCTGCTCTCAAGCCCCCTGTGTGGCTGTGGACAAACCAGACTGACGCTAACCCTGGTAACGCTTCACTACGACACGTCGCTGCGGGAGGCGGGAAAGGGCGGGGCAGAGCCGGCTCGGGCTCACCTGTGGCTCAGGGCCCCGCTCTCGCTCTTTACCCCGCAGTGAGCAGCAGCCCCACACCAGGACTTGGCCCCCACAGAGCCCGAGCGGTAGCGGGGCCTGCTCCTGGCTCCGCCCCCC